TTTTCCCCAAATTTAAAAAAAAAAAACCCCCCCCCCCCCCCCTCGGTGGGTTAAATGAAAATATAAAATTAAATTGAAAATTATTCTGAAATGAACGGGTAAACTATGTGTTCAATATTAATTATATATATAATTTTTTGTATTTAGGTTGATGTTTTATTTGAATTACACTATAATAAATACATAATAATTAATTAGTGTATGTATGTATGTATATTTTGAAAAGAATATATAAATATTTTTTTCCCATAAATATATATAGACCTTTGATGCTAATTATTAGAGTATTAGGCTACTATGGTTTGTATGGTGGCGGCATGGGCATACTCTTGACAATACCACAAAGAGGATGGTTGTCTGGGAGGTTATACTCATCCCTCAAGGAGCGTGAAGGAGAGAGTACACTAAAATATAATTGTTGTCCTAAGTAGTTTCTCTCCCACATATCGGATCGTAAGTTCCATATTCCTGCATTGTCTAAAGTTGTCATTATGGCTGCCCACGAATTTGGATACACTTGGATACTGTGTCTGCTTACTGCATCTACTAAGTTGTAGTTCTTTCTTTTCTCAGGTTTCCATTTCCCAGGCTCGATCCCTACTGCAAAAAATGAATATCCATCCAAGTGATACGTCTGGATAGTCTTTTCTTCGTTCTCAAAGATAATCTCCACGAAATTACGAAAGGTAGCATTTTTCACATTTGGAGCAATGGTCACCACTTTGTTGTTGTTGCTGCTAGGAGTCGGAGGCTCATCCCCCATCACATCATACTTGAAAGTCTTTTCAGCTACTCCAAAGTACTCAACAAGCTTCAATGGGGTGTCACTATCCATATGAGAGATACCATTCAAGGCAAATCGAAGCTTGCCATTTACTTGGCTTCTCGAGTTGACAATCTTGATGGTGCGAGTAATGTTGATCTGTCCGTAGTGATAGGATCCCTGAGGATTAGGACGGGCAGCACTAGCTGTGAGATTCCATCTGAAGGATCGAAATTGATTCATGGACCAAGCAATACCTTGAGTGTTATTTGGTGGAGGTGTTGGGAGATGATCAGATATTGATGTTGATCCGACTCCCTTGCCATTTGCATAACGTAGGATGGCTACGGAGGAGATGGCTTGCTTCAAAAATCGGCTAGAAACAACCATGTAATAGTCCTTAGGCTCCTGATCAGCAGTGACCAAGACCGAAAGACATTGACCAACGTGGATGTCAAGAGAGTCGTACATATTTTGCACGGTATGTGATCCTTCCATCTCCACTAGCTTCATCGCATGACCTTGGATCCTGACATTAACTGAGGTCCTCATACCGACGTTGCACATCCTGTACCTATAGATCTTGCCAGCTTCCATGCTGAATAATGGCTCTGCTTTGTCACCAAGTTTATTGGACTTTCCATTAATGTGAATACCATCAGGTCTCCCAATGGTGCGTCCTCCATCTAACGTCTTTTTCAGGGCTTTGTGTCCCTTATTGTACCAATCGCCCAAAAAGACATTGTACTCATCAGCGGGTTTGTCAAAAGGAATGGGAATAAGGTTACGACTATGAACATCGAGGGCACCGAAGCCACCGGATGCACGATGCAAGCTTGTAGTAGGAAAGTAGAAGAAGCTACCAATTTGGTCCTTCACTTGAAAATGATAAGTGAAATTTGTACCAGGCATGATAGGACACATGGTTCCTGGGGTACCATCTTGCCATGAATTCTTCCTTTGTTGGATACCATTCCAAGTAAGGAGTAAGGGCTCATCTAGCTTATTGTAGACATTGACAACAATATTATTGTTGGATGTGCAATTGATCCTGGGCCCCGGAAGTTGCCCATTGATTAGGATACCTTGTTGGGGGACACCCAACGGAGCAATTGTGCCATAAGTGACATTCCACTCGAAAAAGAGGTAAGGATCCTCAGCTTTTACCAACAAAGCTCCAACGGAGAGGCAAATTATAAGCAAAGCCACAATTTTTACATTATTGGCTTCCTCCATCCCTCCTTTCTCTCTCTATCTCTCTCTCTCTCTATCTCTTATTCTACAATTACGAAACTAACTTCTTCTTTTTTAAAAAAAAAAAAAATTCTTTGATATTTTTTTGTGATTTTAAATTAAAAAAATTGACAAAGAAGAAGAGGGGAATTTCTTCTTCTTCTTCCTTCTAGAGCTTGCATTCTTACCCATCTCCCCGAGGCCTTATATAATAAGAATTTGTTATCTTGATACCATTGATTATCGTCCATAATAATTTCTGTGGCTCACTTTTTGTGCGCGTCCTCATTCTTGCATTTCCTTTAATTATGTTTTGCTTCTCCTTCTATTTCTCATCTTTCCGTCTCCCTTCTTCTCATATTATAACTTTAATGTTCTCACTTTGACTTATTCTTTATTCTTTATAGAATTTAAGAAAAGTTCCAAGTACCTTAGTTTAAATTTCTCCTTGTCTATCTGTTGGGCTTTGAAGGTGATTATGGCGTCACGTGGAAACTTACAATTGCAAATCATATTGATAAATCAGATAACAAAAACTTATACTAAAAATCAAAATATTATTAAATCAAAACTAATATAAAGAAAAACATTGAAACTTTAGAGAGTGAATCTCCCCATAAACAAGACTCTTAAAACGACTACATTTGTGAATGTTATTGTTATTGTGTTAGAAGAAACAAACCTATATTTATAGAGTCCTAAAACATTTCCTACTAGAAAAGAACTAGCTACTCCAAAACATTTTCGAAAGAATAAACCAAATATGAATGAATATTATATTTTCTTTTCAGGAAAAGTAAAAACATTTATGGTAATATTTTCTCTTTTCTTTAAGAAAAAATAAATATTAAATTATGGTAAGAAAATCAGGACAAAATCCTAACACTATCAACGTAGTAAAATGAATTATTTTATTTTATTTTTTCATTTAAAAACTTGCATAAATATTGATATAAATAGACTTGTTCAATATAAAGATATATATTTTTTTGTCTTCTTAAGTTGTTTTTCTTATTAAAAAAAATAGTAAAATATTCATTAATTTTAAGTTGACCTTTTATTACTATCACAAACAAAAGGTCAACTTATAAAATTTATGATTATGTAATTATATATTCTCACATAGAGGTGTATTGCATGTTATGTGTACTAATTATTTCTTCTATCATTTTAGACAATAACATAATTTAGTGGATTAAATAAGTTTCATTAAGATAAAGAAGATAATAATTTACCAAAAAAACGAATATAGTTTGATGACTAAAATATGAACTTCCTTAATTTAAAATTATTTTATATGATTAACAAATTCGTGATATGTTAGGTGGTAAGGAATATATATTTTCATCTAATTATGTCTTAATGATCTTACGATCCTTAAGAATATAATTAAGTGCATAAGATACACTATAATCTTTTAAAATTTGTTGAAGATTTTAATTTATTCTTGTTCATTTATCCCATGAGAGTTGATTCATCATGTTAAACTACACAAATAGTCTATATACGGTCATATCAAATATTTTATTTATTTTTTAAAAAAATTCCTGATATAATTATGGATAAATAAATTCAATTCGTTTAGTGCTCTAGTTTATAAGCTAATAAAAAAATACTCATACAAAGTGGGAAGAAGAATCTCAATTATGGCCACAAATCACCCATCAAAACCAACTACTCTTTCATATCAACATAGTTAAAGAAAAGAAAATTTTGAAGTCCAATCGTAGCAAACTAGCAATAATTATTAAATATCACTTTAGATGAATATCATTTATGAGATTAATGATTTACAAGTTTCATCTGATGAGAGGATCATGACGATTTTCAACGGTTAACATATACACATACGTTAGATTTACATCATCAAAAGTATCTTAAGAAGAAACAAACGAATCATGGCCATTGATGGCCTGACAAAAACATTTTAATTCAGTTTAGAATATATTTTAATGTATAAGTAACATTTAAGGTTATTTTAAATACCTTTTTGGTACATTTTATTAATGAAAAACAACATCATTATCTTTTGTTATATTAATGTGTTTTGAAAATTCTCTATACACGTGTTTATATAATTTTGTTACTCTTTGTAGTTATATTATGTTTAGTAATCTGATTTTTTTTATAGTAGTTTCTTCCTTTATTATAGGTAGTTAGGTATTGTACTAATCTTGTTTATCAATCATAAATTGTAAACTGTATGCATATATGTTTGGAGAAAAATCGTAGTGAAAATGCGGTTGAAAGGTGAAATGAAACAACATAACAAGTGAAAAAAAGTTACCGAAAGAAATGTCCCTTTTGATGTATTGGGTAATATGGGACAGCGAACTTAATGTTTCATATTGCACACACAACTATTAATGCTCTTTCTCAATCAAGTCTCGAACACACAACTATTTATTATATAAAACTTAGGATCACTTGCCTATACTTCTCCCAAGTGACTTCAAAATACTCTTTCAGCCAATTTGAAAGCAGTAATAGATGAGATTGAATCAGATAGAATTAATGCATTTAAGATTGAGCAAGTAAAATAATAATAAAATTAAACTAATTACATAGAAGTTACAACTTAAAGAAAAAATTGAATTAGAGATTATAAAATATTGACTCGGGCACCAATCTTAGCTCCTTTAGGCATACATTCAGGTCAAAACACAATTTTAGGTCTTTAATTTAATTGAAATAAAGTTTATCTGTGGTGTTATAAGTGTTCAAATAATTATTGTTAGTCTTAATAATAATTCACCTATTGTTTATGGGGATAAATTTAGTTAGGTAATCTCATGCACAATACCTTAAGCCATAGTGTTTTATTTTCATATGAATTTGATACTAACTCATGTAGATTAATATATTTAGACACGTCTATCTTATAGCAATTTGGTATAATTTGAGTATGTCAACATGTTCTAATATTAGTATAAAAAACATGAATTTGTACTTTTTATACTAATTTTTTCAACAGGTACAGGTAAGTGTACCTCATACTAATTGTACAAATATTTTAAAATGATAAATAGATAATATTAAAGTATGTATACGACAAGTTACACAAAATTTGAAAGGAAGAAAATGTAAGGTTAAATTAATGAATGGTGAGCATACTTGATCGGTAATTACTGTCATTTCAAAATATAATTTTATTTAAAAGTTTTATCAAAAGAAATTGAAAAAATACACTTCATATTCAGGGAAAAACTGTTTATTTGGTTATAGTATTTTCTAGTATTTGGTCAGTATTATAATTACTAGTATAAATCAATTGGATTATATATTTTTTTCTAATGCAATTGTCGAACGTATCAAATGTTCAGTTTGATAGTAAATATGAGCAATTTCATCTCTGTAACTGTAAATGCTTAACGCCTTAAATTTGTGTCTTCCCGCTAAGAAACTATGTCTCCTCCTTTTTATAATCAGAAGTTATTGTTGATTGATAATAATATTTTTAGAAGTTATAAAAAAAATAAAAAAATATGTGTCTTTCATAAGATGGCTAGTAGATTAGATCAATTGTAGGATATACTCATACAAAAAAGTAGTAATTATTTGTTATAGAATAATTTATAGTTCTTAACTTAAATTTGTATTTATATATTGATATATACAAATCAATATTATTAGTACAAACCTTTATCTAATTCAAAGTTATGACTTTGTTCATCTTTGAATTTTATGATTTTCTTTTATCAATTTTAAAAATTAAATCTTGGAAAATTATTATATACAAACCTTTGTATTTGTGGCACAATCTCCCTCCTTAAAGTCAAGTGGCTTACAAGTTTTTTTCGACGTTATAGAGTTCTTCTGCTTTAATCTGTAAAATAGAAGATCGGTTGATTCATGAGTTGGTACTAATTCATGCAAAGTGTTCATTTGAAGTTGGAGTAAGGAATTATCCACATCACCTTGAAGAGTAATGACATTGTAGTTTTTTCACGCCTATAGAAAGACTTCAAAAGTGCCAACACTCAAATCGAAAGAAAGAACAATTAACCATATGCTTAACTCATGCCCAAAAAAATTCTAGACAAAAAAAGAGGGTACGGACTAATTTTTTTAATAAAGAAAAACTAGTGAAATTCATACGCCCGTTTGGCTCCTCGCGGAGTATAGCTCACATCCAAACATTTGATTAGGGAACGAGGCAACGCCCATGAAGCTCCGGCAGAAAGGGAAGGCCTGCCAGGCCGTATGCCCATGGGTGCAGGATTCTTCGAAAAAGTGCGGGCTGACTCGGAGACTTGGGACCCTGGCGTGTTACGCCCTCTCCCTCCTTCCATATGTGAAGTTGAGGCAGGAAAAAATACGTAATTCTCTGGAGTCATAGGTTACATTTCTATCTTTCTCCCACATAACGTTCTCAAAAGGATCGCCATATTTTTCTTGCTTTATTCTTACCTTGAATATTAGAAAATAAACAATTTTCATATTCACATTATATGACATGAAATTAAGAGTAAAGAAATTTAAAAAATAAAAATAAATAGATAAAAAGTATCATAATGGCATCCTTGTCCATTCTATTGTATTTTTATTTTGTACTTTTTTTTTTCTTTCAATTTTTAATTTCGCTGCTCCACCTATCTTTTTTCTATTTTCTAGTCCATCACTATTTGAATGAAAATCAAAATAAGAAGTTGTTACTTGTATGACGTGATAGAACACATGACACTAACATATTTATTTATCTTTTCAATAAAAACCTAAACTAATTCACAACATGAACAAAACAAACAATTGAAAAAGAAAACGAGTGAGGGTAACAAATCTCTAATCAAATTGTAGTAATTGATCTGAGTCATTTACACAAACAAAAATGAAAATATGTTCAATATTCCTTTAGCAGTAAAATTTTATTATCTTTATTAGCTAAATTAAAATTGATGACATTTAAATAAAATATATTCATAAGGTATATTATCAGAATAATTTAATTCAATAAGTTGAGATTATTGATATTCAGAGTAGTAAGCTATAAGTTCATTATTATT